CTTTCTCCCCCCCCCCACCCGGCCACGTGATGAGTGCGTGCGACATGTTCGGGGAAACGCAAGACCCGGGTTTGCCAGGACTCGGGTTTGCCGACGTTTTTTGACGGCCGCGACTCGGATTTTGACGAGTAGGAGTTTCGTGGGATGTCTGCAGCGGGAGGCCTCGTCAAAATGCAGGCTCGGCCTCGTCATTTTTTTGACGACCTCGTCGGGGATTTCCGAGTCCCCTGTACCCGGGTCTTACGCCCCCCTGAAATGTGATCGCGCGGGGGCCCTCGCGGCTTGTGGGCTGCCTCGCCGCCGCCGGCCCTCTCCCTGCTCGTCTTCCGGGGCTCCGCGGGGCGGGCGCTCGGCCTGCGGCCTCTCCACGGCGGCTGCCGCGCCGTCCCCCGCGCCCTTCTCGGGCGCGGCTCCTGCACGGTGCCCCCCTTGGCACCTCGGCGAGGGGGCGCCCGGCGCTGCTGCCACGGGCCCCTCGGCCCGCGGCCGCGGCGCCGCCATTGGCCTCCCCCCCGCGCTGCGCCTGCTGCCTGAAGCTCCGGCCCCCCTCGTCATGGGCGTCCTCGGGGCGCGCGCCCATCCGAGAGAGCCGACAGCGGGCGAGGACCCCCGCCGGCTTCACGCGACGCCGCCCTGCCCTCTAACGACACGTGCACGGGTCCGCGTCGGTTTCGAAGGGTACGCAGCGCGCGAGCGTTCGTAGCGCGTGGCTGGTCTCGCGGCTTGGGGGGGCCGTGTTCCTATGCCTGGGTGGGCGCGTACGTCCTTCGTGGGTCCCTACTTCTGGCAGGAGGCTGAGGAGGGAGAGGGAGGAGGAGGAAATGGAGGAGAAGGAGGAGGAGGAGGAGGAGGAGGAGGAGGAGGGACAGGAGGAGGGAGGAGGAGGAGGAGGGACAGGAGGAGGAGGAGGAGGAGGGAGGAGGAGGAGGAGGAGGAGGAGGAGGAGGAGGAGGAGGAGGAGGAGGAGGAGGAGGAGGAGGAGGAGGAGGAGGAGGGAGGAGGAGGAGGAGAGAGGAGGAGGAGGAGGAGGAGGAGGAGGAGGAGGAGGAGGAGGAGGAGGAGGAGGAGGAGGAGGGACAGGGAGGAGGAATAGGTGGAGAAGGAAGAGGAAATGGTAGAGGAGGTGGAGGAAATGGTGGAGGAGGAGGAATTGGAGGAGGAGGAGAGGAGGAGGAGGAGGAGGAGGAGGAGGAGGAGGAGGAGGAGGAGGAGGAGGAGGAGGAGGAGGACAGGGAGGAGGAGGAGGAGAGAGGAGGAGGAGGAGGAGGAGGAGGAGGAGGAGGAGGAGGAGGAGGAGGAGGAGGAGGAGGAGGAGGAGGAGGAGGAGGAGGAGGAGGCGGAGGAGGAGGAGGAGGAGGAGGAGGAGGAGGAGGGGAGGAGGAGGAGGAGGAGGAGGAGGAGGAGGAGGAGGAGGCGGAGGAGGAGGAGGAGGAGGAGGAGGAGGAGGAGGAGGAGGAGGGGGCGCCGCGATCTCGCGCGTGGGCCCCTCTCCCCTCGGGGTGCAGAGGCCGGCCCCGGGGAGGGGGCCGGCCCGCTCCGCAGGGGCCCGCGGAGCCGGCGCCCCCCCCGCTGCGGCTCCGCGCCGCCCCGCGGGGCGGCCGCTCCACCCCAGAGTTCCGCCGGCGTGATTTCTGGTCTTAAAACGACGCGAAGGTCGGGACAAAATCGGATCGGGATTCGGGACATCCTCCTCCTCCTCCTCCTCCTCCTCCTCCTCCTCGTCCTCCTCCTCCTCGTCCTCCTCCTCCTCCTCCTCCTCCTCCTCCTCCTCCTCCTCCTCCCCTCTGCAGCCTGGCCCGAGCTGCTCGCGCGGGAGCCAGGGGGCGCCCGTTCCAACGAAGAGGAGGATCGGGATAACTTGAAGTCTCTGGGAATCGGCGGGTTTTTGGAGGATGTATTGGGCGCCGCGGCCGCTCCAGAGCGTTCCGGGACGCTCTGAGAGCGCGCCGGAACGCTCTGGAGCGATTCATCCCGATCCTGGCCCTGTTTTATTTCTGGTGGCCGAGCTCCTACTTATAGAGGTCTTCCAGATGGGGTCCGGATTCGATGGGGTCGGAGGATCGCGCCGCATCACCACTGCATCGGCGACACCTCGTCGATGCATCGCAGACGTCGGCGACGCATCGGCGACGTCGGCGTGGAGAAAATCTGACGCCGGGCGTCGTCCGTCTTGGCGTCCGTCGTCGGCCGTCGTCGGCCGTTGTCCGTCGTCCGTCGTCGTCGTGCGTCGTCGGTGGTCGTCCGTCGTCGGTCGGTCGTCGGTCGTCGGTCGTCGGCATTTCCTCCGTCGGTCACCCGTCGTTGTCGCCCAGCGTCGCCCGTCGCCACCGCCGCGCACTCCGACCAGAGGCCTGGCCCAGGATGCCGGGCTATCACGCCTGCCGCCGGCGCGCCCCTGACGCCTCAACGTAGCGCCCGCGCGCGCGGCGCGGCGATGCGCCCCGCCGCGGCGGCCGTGCTGCTGCTGGCGGCCCTCGAGGTTGGGGTTAATTCGGGCTTGTCCCTCTACAGGAGGAGAATTCAAAAATAGTTCAACAATAGTTTGGGAACGTTTTTTTTTTTGACTATTTTGGAGTATGATTCTGAGAATTTGTGTGGCATTTTTAATTTATTTTTTCGTCCAAAGTCCGCCTGTAGGAGGATCTGCCCGACCTAAGGTTGGGGTCGCGGCGGCGGCGCTTGGGGCCGGTGGGGACAACCCCATCCAGGCAGCCCCACGAGCCCGTCTCGGCCCCGCCGAGGATCGGCGCAGAGGTCGCACCGGATTTTGTTATAGTTTGGTTTTTGAGATGTGTTTGGCTTCCAGGGGAGAGGAAGGGGGAGGGGGTGGAGGAGGAGGAGGAGGAGGAGGAGGAGGAGGAGGAGGAGGAGGAGGAGGAGGGGAGGGGGAGGAGGAGGAGGAGGAGGAGGAGGAGGAGGAGGAGGAGGAGGAAGAGGAGGAGGAGGAGGAGGAGAAGGAGGAGGAGGAGGAGGAGGAGAAGGAGAGTGGAGGGAGGGAGGAAGGGATGAGAGAAGAAGGGAGGAGGGACGCATGAGGAGCAGGAGGGAAGAGGAGGGGAGGGACGATGCCAACGACGACGCGCGACGACGACAAACACGACGACGACGAACACGAGGACGACGGATAACGACGAGCACAAATCACGTTACACGACGGCGAAGATTGACGACGACGACGCTGATGACGACGAAGGTAACGACGACGAAGACGACGACGGCGACGATGACGGCGACGACGACGAGCACGACGGCGACAACGACGAGAGGGGGGGGGGACCCTAACGGGCGGGTCGGTCGGGCGGGCGGGACCTCAACAGGCGGTTCGGACGGGCGGGGCACTAGAAGCGGGTGGGTCGGTCGGGCGGGAGGAACACGAAAGCGGACGGGCTTTTCTTCAAGGCGGGCGGGCCGGTTGAGCGGCGGCGCGGGCGGTCGTGACATTATACGTAACATTCTTTGGCGGGGCGAGGTTGGCGGAGAAGACACCGAAGAAGAAAGAAGGGGATTGGCGACGACAACGACGGCGGTGGGACCTTGAATCGGGCGAGCAGGCGGAACACTGAATGGAAACCTTGCGCGTTGATGTGACAAGGCCAGGGCAAATAAACTAGGAACATCAAAGAGTTCGACAACAATGACGACCAGTGCGACAGTAAAGCCGGCGGGCGGGCGGGGCATTGTATACAGTTTTTGCTCGTTGATGGGACAAGATTCGTCGTGGTCATCGTCGTCGCCGTCGTTGTCAGTGTCAGCGTCGTCGTCGTTGTCGTCATCGTCGTGGGAATCGTCGTCCGCGGTCGCCGTCATCGTCATCGTCGTCAGCGTCGTGGTGTTCGTCGTCGTCGTCGTCGTCCTCGCAGTTGTCGTCGACGTCGTCCCCGCAGTTGTCGTCGTCGTCGTCGTCGTCGTCGTCGTCGTCGTCGTCGTCGTCGTTATCGTCGTCGTCGTCGTCGTCGTCGTCGTCGTCGTCGTCGTCGTCGTCGTCGTCCGCGTCGATGTCGTCGTCCGCGTCGTCATCATTTGCCGGCGCGCTCGCTGGACTGGGAGGGCCGTCGCCCCCCCCCTCCGTCTTTAGAGGGGGCTTTTGGGACCCCTCCGCCCTCTCTCAAGCGCGTACAGGCGACGCTCTTTCAGGGGTCCATGTCTGTTTTTTCAATACGGGGTCCCCGTAAGTCCTGACCAACCCTCTCCGCAGGATCAGTCTTCCACCCCGATTTGGTTTTTGACGGGCCTGGGGCCTGGCGAGGGCCTCCAGAGGCCGAAAACGGCCACACCGACGTCCTTTGTTTTTCCAGCATGCTGGATGGTTGGGGGCAAGAAGCTGGAGCCTACGACAGGTTCACGTCGTGTCGACCGGCGGCGACTCCGCCGCTGGCGTTCAACGGTGAACGCCGCCGGCGATCCAGAATCGGTCGATGTTGATCGATCTGACGGATCGGAAACCGTCGACCGTCACAGGTTGAACGATCCCCGCAGTGTCAGAAACCAACGACAGGGTCGTCACGACACAAATTCTGGATGCCTCGCACGGCACGCAATCGTTTTACTATCTACTTCGCACAGCCGCCACGTCAGATATGGGACGATGTTCGCGAGGCGATCCGACCCAAGTCCGGCGTAAATCGGACGTGAGTCCAACGCAAGTCCGACGCACTCGGGCGTGAACACGACTTACATCTGACGTGGATTCGATGCAAATTGGGCCTCAAGTGGCCGCGCGAGGCCTCCGGAGGTTTCCCCATGACGATCGTTCTGGCTTGAACGATCCCCGCGGTGTCAGAAACCAGCGACGGGGTCGCCACGACACGAGCCTGCCCTGGTTGGCCACCCAGCTTGCGTCCGTCCAAACGCTCGCCAGAGAGAGAGAGAGAGAGACTTGGCATCGCTCGGACGCGTGCATTTGTGGTTCCGGCGAGGACCATCGATGGGGCATCCAGGATCATCGTGCGAAAGCTACACGCGTGAGACCGAACAGTGCACGGGGAAGGGAGGTCCGAGCGATGGCGAGGAGAAGGCCAGGGCGGGGCTGGGCGGGGCCCGGGGCTGCTGGCCTTCCGGCGGGTGGTGCAGTTGCTGCAGAGGATGCAGCAGAAGGTGACCCAGGATAGCCGGCGCGGTACGAAGCGAGACGGTCCAAGAGGTGCGCAAGTGGGCTCCAAGACCGCGTTATGAGGTCCCAAACACGGCCCAAGCCCCAAGAGGGCTTCAAGCGGGTGCCAACACGGGTCGTGGGCCCCTATCTTGAGGGGTGCGGCTCCCAACATGCCCCCAAGACCTGCTGGGAAGCCTCCGCAACAGGGTGCTACCCTTCACTCGTCTCCTCTTTCTGGGCCTCCTGGGAGGCCCTCGTCGCCACCGCTGGATTTGCCTCCAGGTTCTGGCCAGACCGCACCCCGAAAGAGATCCGGGGAGTCGCGGTATCGGCACCTTCTGGTTCCCCCTCGGAGGAGGAGGAGGAGGAGGCGGAGGAGGAGGAGGAGGCGGAGGAGGAGGAGGAGGAGAGGAGGAGGAGGAGGAGGACGCGCAGAATGACGCGGAAGAGGAGGAGGAGGAGGAGGAGGAGGAGGAGGAGGAGGAGGAGGAGGAGGAGGAGGAGGAGGAGGAGGAGGAGGAGGAGGAGGAGGAGGAGGAGGAGGAGGAGGAGGAGGAGGAGAGAGGAGGAGGAGGAGGAAGAGGATGTCCTGGTTTAGGGGCCGGGGGCCCGATTTCCACTCCCAGTCTCGGGCCGGACGAAAGGGGGGGATTGGGAGAGGGGGGGTTACGAAGTTTGCTGCATGCAGCTGGTTTCGGCCCCACCGAGGGGCCCATTCCTCGATACATGGGCGCCTCCGGCGCCGGGAGGCGCCAGGAAAATCAGCTACGTGAGCTGATTCTCACCCCCCCCCTTCGCTATCCCCCCCTTTCGCCCGACCCGACAGTCCCCTGGCGCCTCGACGAAATCGAGGTGGCTGGTTGGCCACCCTTGCCAGCATGCAGGAGCTGGCTTGGGTCCTCGGGGCCGTCAAGAGGCGTCTCGGATAGCATTGCCCTGGCGAAGGGCCCAACCATCTGCGGGTGCGAGTGTCGCCGTGGGTATCGCCTTCGTGGAGCTCCTTATGGGGCCACGAGGCGTGTAACGGGCGCGCTTCATGGGGCGGGGGCGCATGCGGGCGCAGCCATTGGGGCTTGCGGAGGCGCCCGATATCAGGCCACGAGGGGCCGCCACTGGGGCCTTCGGTGGAGCTCCCTAAGGGGCGATGAGGAGCGTGAGGGGTAATTATGCCGAAATGGGCGGGGGGGACGCATGCGAACGTCCCCACTGGGGGCTTCGGTGGAGCTCCGCAGGGGGCCACGATCCTCGTGAGGGGTGCGCCGAAGTCGGCGGTGGGGGGGGGCGCATGTGATCACAGCCAGTGGGGCCTTCGGTGGAGCTCTCCAGGGGGCCACGGCACGCTGTACTGAGTGGTGCGGGCGCATGTGGTCACAGCCACTGGGGCCCTCGGTGGAGCTCCCTACGGGATCACAAAGCGCCGTACTGGGTGGCGTGGGACGCATGTGGTCACAGCCACGGGGGCCTTTGGTGGAGCTCCCTATGAGGCCACAAAGCGCCGCAGTGTGTGGCGCGGGACGCATGTGGTCACAGTTATTGGGGCCTTCGGTGGAGCTTCCTATGGAGCCACGAAGCGCCGTACTGGGTGGTGCGGGACGCATGTGGTCACAGCCACTGGAGCCTTCGATAGGGCTCCCCATTGGGCCACGACACGCCGTACTGGGTGGCGCGGGACGCATGTGGTCACAGCCACTGGGGCCTTGCCTTCGGTGGAGCTCCCTACGGGATCACAAAGCGCCGTACTGGGTGGCGCGGGACGCATGTGTTCACAGCCGCTGGGGCGTTCGGTGGAGCTCCCTATGAGGCCACGAAGCGCCGTACTGGGTGGCGTGGGACACATGTGGTCACAGCCACTGGGGCCTTCGGTGGAGCTCGCAATGGGGCTATGACGCGCTGTTCTGGGTGCGCTGGAATGGTGGTCATGCAGCGAGCAGATGCAGGGATGGGAGGAAGGAGGAGGGGGAGGAGGAGGAGGAGGAGGAGGAGGAGGAGGAGGAGGAGGAGAGGAGGGAGAGAGGAGGCGGAGGCGGAGGCGGGAGGAGGAGGAGGAGGAGGAGGAGGAGGAGGAGGCGGAGGGCAGGAGCGGAGGAGGAGGAGGAGGAGGAGGAGGAGGAGGAGGAGGGAGGAGAGGAGGAGGAGGAGGAGGAGGAGGAGGAGGAGGAGGAGGAGGAGGAGAGGAGGAGGAGGAGGAGGAGGAGGAGGAGGAGGAGAGTTAGGAGGAGGAGAAGGCGGGACAAGGGAGGAACGCTGGGCGCTGTCCCGTCAAACCGAGGGCCCAACACTACAGGATGGTTGGGAGAAACTTGTTCTGGGGACGCGGTGGAGAGGCTCAGGAAGCCCACGCATCCAACATTATCATGGCGAAGGACCCACTCATATGCACTTGTGAGTGCTGAGTTGTGGGTACGGCTCTCGGTGGAGCTCCTTACGGGGCCACGACCCTCGTGAGGAGTGTGCCGAAATGGGCGGGGGGGGGCGCATGCGGACCCTGTCGCTGGGACCTTCGGTGGAGCTCCCTATGGGGCCACGATCCTCGTGAGGGGTGGGCCGAAATGGGCGGAGGGACACATGCTGACCCTGCCGCTGGGGCCTTCAAAGGAGCTCCCTATGGGGGCCGAAATGGGCGGAGGGACACATGCTGACCCTGCCGCTGAGGCCTTCGGTTGAGCTCCCTATGGGGCCACGATCCTCGTCAGGGCTGTGCCGACATGGGCGGAGGGACGCATGTGGACCCTGCCGCTGGGGGCCTTCGGTGGAGCTCCCTATGGGGCCACGATTCTCGTGGGGGGTCTGCCGAAATGGGCGGGGGGACGCATGCGGACCCTGCCATTGGGGCCTTTGGTGGAGCTCCCTATGGGGCCACGATCCTCGTGAGGGGTCTGCCGAGATGGGCAGGGGGACGCATGCGGGCCCTGCCGCTGGAGCCTTCGGTGGAGCTCCCTATGGGGCCACGATCCTCGTGAGGGGTGGGCCGAAATGGGCGGGGGAACGCATGCGGACCCTGCCGCTGGGGTCTTCGGTGGGGCTTCTTATGGTGCCACGATCCTCGTGAGGGGTGTGCCGACATGAGCTGGGGGACGCATGCGGACCCTGCCGCTGGGGCCTTCGGTGGAGCTCCCTATGGGGCCACGATCCTCGTGAGAGGTGCACCGAAATGGGCGGGGGGACGCATGCGGACCCTACCGCTGGGGCTTTCGGTGGGGCCACGATCCTCGTGAGGGGTGTCCCGAAATGGGCAGGGGGACGCATGCGGACCCTGTCGCTGATGCCTTCGGTGGAGCTCCATATGGGGCCACGATCCTCGAAAGTGGTGTGCAGAAATGGGCTGGGGGACGCATGCGGGCCCTGCCATTAGCTCCCTATGGGGCCACGATCCTCGTGAGAGATGTGCCGAAATGGGCGGGGGGAAGCATGCGGACCCTGCCGCTGGGGCCTTCGGTGGGCGCCCTCAGAACCCCAAAAACCAAAATAAAAGCACAGGGTTTGCCGGGTCAGGGGTAAGGAAACCATGTGTTTTCATGTTTTTTGATTCTTGTGGGTAGAAATCAACAAAACCATGTGTTTTCATTTGGATTGTTCGGGTTTTGGGATTTGGGACCCTTACGAAAACACCACCGCCTCTCCTCCCCCAGGTCGACGCTTTCAGAGTCCAGACATCCACATGCAAACATAGGGTTTGTGAGGTCAGGGGTGAGGAAGCCTTTTGAAGCATTGAGAACACCCAAACGAAAACACAGGGTTTCGTTGATGTCCATCACAGGAATCCCAACCATCCCAATGAAAACACAGGGTTTCCTTACCCCTGACCTCGCAGACCGTGTGTTTTCATTTGATTGTTTTGGGGGGGAATCTGAGAGCGCCGACCTGGGGGAGGAGCGGCGGTGGTGTTTTCGTAGAGCTCCCAAATCCCCAAAGTCAACACACATCCAAATGACAACGCATGGTTTCGCTGATATCAATTTCCAAAATCCAAAACATCCAAATGACAACAATGGGTTTCCTTACCCCTGACCTCGCAAACCCTTTGGTTTCATGGTTGCGTGTGGCGCTTGGCTGTCGGTGCTCGCAGAGTCGGCGCTGGGGTTCATAGAATCGCTGGTAAAGCGCCGGCGCTGGCAACGGGAGGACACCAGCTCAACTGTTTCCTTCTCCGAATCCTCCTCCTCATGTGAGTGTTCTCCTCCTCCTCGTCCTCCTCCTCCTCCTCCTCCTCCTCCTCTTCCTGCTCCTCCTCAAAAAGTTAGACTCCTTGTCCTCCTCTTCCTCCTCCTCCTCCTCCTCCTCCTCCTTCTCCTTTTTTCCTCCTCTGAATCCTCCCCCACCTCCTCCTCCTCCTCCTCCTCCTCCTCCTCCTCCTCCTCCTCATGTCTGTCCTCCCCCTCCCTCCTCCTCCTCTTCCTTTTTGTTGTTGTTGTTGTTGTTTTTTCCCCAACCCTCCTGCGTTGGGTTCTCGTTTTGAATAGAAGACTGCTCGCGCGTCTCCTTTCTTCCTTCCCGCCCCTCTCTTCCCCCTTGCCTTTTGCCTCGCTCGTCGCTGCGTGCCAGCTGGGGGGCTGCGATCTGTGAAACTGTCGCCACTTTCGAGGGCTGCTGAGGGGCCCAGCACAGCGGGTACTCACCGCAGACTCAAATTAGACCTCGCCATCCTTGGGGGGCTGCGATCTGTGAAACTGTCGCCACTTTCGAGGCCTGCTGGGGGGCCCAGCACAGCGGGTACTCACCGCAGACTCAAATGGGACCTCGCCATCCCTGGGGGGCTGCGATCTGTGAAACTGTCGCCACTTTCGAGGGCTGCTGGGGGGCCCAGCACAGTGGGTACCCACCGCAGACTCAAATGGGACCTCGCCATCCCTGGGGGGCTGCGATCTGTGAAACTGTCGCCACTTTCGAGGCCTGCTGGGGGGCCCAGCACAGTGGGTACTCACCGCAGACTCAAATGGGACCTCGCCATCCCTGGGGGGCTGCGTTCTGTGAAACTGTCGCCACTTTCGAGGCCTGCTGGGGGGCCCAGCACAGTGGGTACTCACCGCAGACTCAAATGGGACCTCGCCATCCCTGGGGGGCTGCGATCTGTGAAACTGTCGCCACTTTCGAGGCCTGCTGGGGGGCCCAGCACAGTGGGTACTCACCGCAGACTCAAATGGGACCTCGCCATCCTGGGGGGCTGCGATCTGTGAAACTGTCGCCACTTTCGAGGCCTGCTGGGGGGCCCAGCACAGTGGGTACTCACCGCGGACTCAAATTAGACCTCGCCATCCCTGGGGGGCTGCGATCTGTGAAACTGTCGCCACTTTCGAGGCCTGCTGGGGGGCCCAGCACAGTGGGTACTCACCGCGGACTCAAATGGGACCTCGCCATCCCTGGGGGGCTGCGATCTGTGAAACTGTCGCCACTTTCGAGGCCTGCTGAGGGGGCCCAGCACAGTGGGTACTCACCGCAGACTCAAATGGGACCTCGCCATCCCTGGGGGGCTGCGATCTGTGAAACTGTCGCCACTTTCGAGGGCTGCTGAGGGGCCCAGCACAGTGGGTACTCACCGCAGACTCAGATTCGACTCGCCATCCCTGGGGGGCTGCGATCTGTGAAACTGTCGCCACTTTCGAGGGCTGCTGGGGGGCCCAGCACAGTGGGTACTCACCGCGGACTCAAATTAGACCTCGCCATCCCTGGGGGGCTGCGATCTGTGAAACTGTCGCCACTTTCGAGGCCTGCTGGGGGGCCCAGCACAGTGGGTACTCACCGCAGACTCAAATTGGACCTCGCCATCCCTGGGGGGCTGCGTTCTGTGAAACTGTCGCCACTTTCGAGGGCTGCTGAGGGGCCCAGCACAGTGGGTACCCACACGCAGATTCAAATTAGACCTCGCCATCCCTGGGGGGCTGGGATCTGTGAAACTGTCGCCACTTTCGAGGCCTGCTGGGGGCCCAGCACAGTGACGCCACACGCAGATTCAAATTAGACCTCGCCATCCCTGGGGGGCTGCGATCTGTGAAACTGTCGCCACTTTCGAGGCCTGCTTGCGGGGCCCAGCACAGTGACGCCTCCCAAGTAGCTTACCCATCAAGTTGATTGTCCATACAAGTTTCGGCCAACTCCTCGTTTCCATTGATACAAATGGGTTGGGTACGTCACAGGGTAATGAGTTGTTGAGAATATTATTGATTCTTTTTGTAGCCGATTTCAGTGGGATTCCTTTTGAATCGGATTTCGCTAAGACTCCTAGTGTAGCCGATTTCGATGGGATCACTTTTTGCTTGGAATTTTAAGGATTTCTTTTGTAGCCGATTTTAAAAAGGATTTCCTTTGTGGAGGATTTCAATAGGACTCCTTTGATATCCGATTTCAATCGGATTTCTTTTGTAGCCGAGGATCCTTTGAAATCTAAATGAAGATACATGTTTTCGTTGATATTCATCCCAGAATCCAAAACATCCAAGTGAAAACAAAGGGTTTCCTCACCCCTGACCTCGCAAACCCTTTGTTTTCATGGTTGCTCGTGTTTGGCACTGGGGCTCATAGAATCGCTGGTAAAGCGCCGGCGCTGGCAACGGGAGGACACCAGCTCAACTGCTTCCTTCTCCGAATCCTTCTCCACCTCCTCCTCCTCGGCCTCCTCCTCCTCCTCCTCCTCCTCCACCTCCTCATGTGTTCCTCCTCGGCCTCGTCCTCCACCTCCTCCCCCACAGGGGACTTCGGCGCCAGGCGCCTCCTCCGACGCAAGGGCGGGCTGCTGCTCCGGCGGTGGCGGCGCCCCCGGCGCCGCCTCGAAGCGTTCCTCCCCGGCCCAAGCCGCCTCCTCGGACTCGGGGGGCGACAGCAGCACGCCGGCAGCCGCCGGTGCACCCGAGGATGGGCTGGCATCCCCCAGATCTCTTAACGGGCGAAGAACGGTATAATATAAACTTTTTCGCCGTCGGGGACACCTGCCCCAGGGCGGCTGGAAAGTTTATACCCCTACGGTGCCACCGTAGGGGTATAAACTTTCCACCCGCCCAGGGACAGGTGTCCCCGACGGCGAAAAAGTTTATTTTATACCGTGTTTCGCCCGTTAAATCTCGGGTCACCTCCGCCTCCCCCCACAGCACCTCCTCCTGCTGCGCCTCCTCCAGCTGCCTCGCAGCAGGCTCGCTCACCGCAGGTGGCGAGGCCGGCATGGGCGCGCCGGGCGGCGCGTGGCAGTCCACCTCGAGGTCACCCTGGAGAGGGTCCTGCTGCCAGATGCGCCCCGCGAGCTGCAAGCCCAGGAGGGCGAGCTCGGGGCCGGCCTCGGGAGTCGGGCGGGCTGGCACGACGCCTTCGCTCTGTGCCTCCTCGGCCTCGCCGCCCCCTCCTCCAGCACTGCCTGCGCAGCCGCCGCCTCCTCGAGGAGGCGGCCCCGGCGGCCGACCCAGCCGCCCGCCCCCCTCCCCCAGGAGCTCCCACGCCTCCGCCGACGGCTACCGCCCCGTCGCGCGCGGCGCCAGCAACAACCAGGAGGGGAAAAAACACACAGACACAATTCATCGTCGATTCCCCAGAAGATATGGGCAAATATGGGAAGTGGGGGGGCAGACAGAAACCCAGAAAATATGGGAAAATGTGGGGAATCTTGTTATTTGTGTGTATTTATTTGTGTGTCCCAGTTCCCCTTCAAACAAGCGGGCCACCTAAGGCAGCGATCGCCGCTTGGACTGTCTGCGCCCGCCCAGCGTCGACAATGGTCCTCAACGCGTCCCAGTCTGGGGCTGGTGGGCCTGGGTTGGGTTCGCCGCCCTCGGTGAGGTCGCGCTGCCAGCCGCGGAGCGACGTGCCGCGCGGCACGCCTCCTGGCAGGCGGCAGTCACTGGCCGCGCGGCCCTCCGTGCGGCCCGTGGATGGCGAACTGCCACTGCACCCCCCAGGCTTGCACGGCCTCCCGCGAGACGGCGAGCTCCTTCGCGACCGAGTTCAGCGCGGGCGGCCCGCCAGTTTCCAGAAAGGCGGCCAGCTACGCCAGGTGCTGGAGCGCCCCAGGCATGTGCCAACACGACTTGGCGGGAGCCTCGACGCGACGCTGAACGTCAGCCCAGGTGCGGCCGCAGACGAAACCCACTGGCCCGCACCAGCAGCAGCAGCAGACCAGCGCCATGAGCATGTCAGCGCCAACGAAGAGTGCGACGGCCAAGTGGAGCTTCAGCGCTCGACGCAGACCGCGAACTCGAGTCCCTCATGATCCCGACCAGCCTCCTCCAACCAGGCTGCCGCCGCACTCTCTGCATTCGCCCCTGCAGCGCCCGCTTGTGCAGCAGCCTCTTGCACGCGTGGGTCCTGGGCAAGTTGTTGAGTTCTTAACGCCCAAGGCGCAAGGCCACCGCCTGTCGCGCCAGCCGCCCCGGCCACCGCCAGCAGCCCAGCGCCCCCTGCACGCCAGCGCGCCAGGGCCATGAACCCGCCCAGCGGGGAGGGGGAGGGAAGAGGGAGGCCGAGGTGCCGGGATTCCGGCTCGAATCGAGCACCCGGGAATCCGGCTCGAATCGAACACCCGGGATTCTTGAGATGATGATGCTGATGATGACGATGATGATGACGACGATGATGATGATGATGATGCTGATGCTGATGCTGATGCTGACGCTGATGCTGCTGATGACGATGATGACGATGATTATGATGTTGATGATGTTGCCGATGCAGATGATGACGAGGATGGTGATGAGGATGATGATGCGGATGAAGATGAAGAAGATGAAGAAGATGATTATGATGATGCTGCTGCTGATGATGATGATGAGGAGGAGGAGGAGAAGGAGGAGGAGGCGTAGGTCCGTAGCCATTTTGGCTCAAGGTTGGCTCTCCTTTGGGCTCAGGCGCGATTTTGCGAAGGCCCCCGGGATCGAGACGTGAACGGGAAGTTGGCTGCTGTTCTTTCATGGCGATGTCGCCCTCCCAAGGGCTGCCCCTCGCGTTCACGCTGGCGCCCGTGGGGCAGCGCCCCGCTGCCCAGGGCAATCTGGGGCACATAAGGGGATTCGGCCGCAGCGACTTGCCCACGGAGAGCGACTCTTCCGAGGCCGCCCAGTACCTCGGCGCCGGGGCGCTCCTCGTGGTGGGCTCCGCGCTGGCGGTCCGCACACTCGCGGGCAAGAGGCGGCCGGCTCAGGGCCGCTCGCAGCAGCGGGCGCACAGGGTTGTGCGCCAGGCGGCGTCTGGCGGCTACCTGAAGGCCCGCGAGCGCCGCGACGGTCATGGCTGGGTGAAGGAGGACCCAGAGTTCAGCCCCGGAGCGGCGTCTGGTGCCACCGTGACGGTCGAGCTCAAGAAGCGCCCGATGGGCGTCATGCGCTACACTCACGGCGAGGATGGCAAGGGCGCCATGATCGTGGAGATGCACGAGAAGGCCCGCTACCCTGGCGACCCTCGTGGCCAGTGTGCGGTGGGCGGCGTCAAGAAGAACATGATCGTGAAGGCCATTAACGGCACGGACGTGTCGGGCTGGGACTTCTCCGACATCATGGACATGCTCGAGGACACGGAGGGGGACGCCAACTGCACGCAGGAGGCCAAGGCCGCCTGGGAGGCGCGCCCCCGCAACCACCAGGCGGTGGCGCTGCCAGCCACCGTCAGCTTCCAGGAGTGCGCCGTCAGCGCCAGCGCCGCCAGCGCCCCAGCGCCGGTGATCGCCGGCGCGTGGTACCCCAGGGGCGGAGGTTTTTCGGAGGCCGACCTCGACGCCGAGATGTCGAAGGCAAGGGGCTTTCCTGTCCCTGCCGGCTACAGCGGCGTGCGCTACACAGGCCCAGGTTGCCTGAACGAGGCGTGGATCAAGCAGTTTGCCGAGCAGCAGCGCAAGGGCGTCTTGCTTCCCAAGGGGGACGCCTATGCCCTGGTGATCGACTGCACCAAGCTGCTGAAGAAACATAAGACGTTGAACGAGATCACCGTGCCTGCCGGTCAGAAAATTCATGTGGTCGGTGACACTCACGGCCAATATTGGGATTTCTTGCACATGCTGTCTCTCACTGGCTTCCCGTCTGCTTCCAACCCGATCCTCTTCAATGGCGATTTCGTCGATCGTGGTTCTTGGGGCATGGAGGTGGTGTTGATGATCTATGCCTTCAAGGTCATGTGCCCTGACAGCGTTCACCTGACGCGCGGAAACCACGAGATCATCGCAGAAAACATCTTGTACGGGTTCTGCGGCGAGACTTTCAAGAAGTACGATGGCGGTCTCTTCGACCTCTTCTCCGAGTCGTTCCGCAACCTGAGCTTGTGCCACACCATCAACGAGGAGATCTTCGTCATGCACGCCGGCCTGCCGGGGCCGAACCCGCGGCAGTGGCTCCCGGGCCAGAGCCACGACCCGGAGGACGCCATCCCCGTCAACGCAAAGTGCATGACCTTGGCGGAGATCGCCGCCATCAGCCGCGAGACGGAGCTCCAGGACTCGAGCTACAAGAATGCCGTTGGCGACGCCGCGAACAAGTGGGCCGAGGAGGAGCGCACCATCATCGACCTCGTGTGGGGCGACCCGCGGGGCGGCCCCGGCTACGGGCCGTCGTACCGCAAGTCCAAGGGCGTGTTTATGTTCGGCCCCGACGTCACGGAGCAGTTCTGCAGGGTCAACGGTCTCAAGGCCGTTATCCGCTCTCACGAGGTCAAGCAGCTTGGCTGGAAGCAAGACCATCCGCAATTGTACACAGTTTTCAGTTGCCCCGACTACATGGATGCGGGTGGCAACCAGGGAGCCTTCTTGACATTGGAGAACGACGGCAGCAGCCTATCGATCAAGCCAACCAGTTTCGACAAGACCCCCACCCCGACCTGAAGCCGATGGTGTGGCAGGAGTACATGATGCAGGTCAACCCGCACCTAACCAGGAAGATGAAGAAGAAGACCGGCCTCATCTACGACTCGAACGGCATGATCGTGGGAGAGATCAAGGACACGGACCAGGGCGACAGCGACAGCGGGCAGTCAATGGTGGACGAGTGGGTGGAGGACGAGGACTATGCTCGTGCGTGAACAAGTCGGTGAAGGCCGTTGCCACTGGTCTCCTTGTCCGCAGACTCTCGCGTTTGTAGCCTCGCGTGGCCTGCCTGCACATCAGGGCAGCCACGTGGACCCGTAGGCCAGGACGGTTCCCATCTGCGGTGGTGTTCGGCAGGCGCTCGGCGCACGTTTTTCTGGCCCGCCGCTCCAGGACGGAGTCCCTCGCACCCGGCTTCCCCCATTTGGGTGGGGGACGGCTCGTTTTCAAGCCAATTCTCCGCGGCAGCTTGACACAGAGCAGGCGCTTGAGAAATAGGTCCCTACATTGCGAGGAGGAGGAGGCGGAGGAGGAGGAGGAGGAGGAGGAGGAGTTGCGGAGACGATGCCAGACATGGGTGCTAGGCCAGAGCTGTCCAGGATCTGCGCGTGGTTCTTAGCGTGTCTCAGAGAACCAGCCTCACTTGGACCATCCCCCTCTGTCGACCATCGTTGCCTTCTCGCGCCTCCCCGCGCCCAGGAGCGGGATGTCGAGAAGGACTTGTTCGAGAAATTTATCAGGCTGCGCTGCCGCGCGAATCCGCCAATGCGCCCGGGGAAGCTGCGCGGCCACGCTGTCGCGTGGCGCGGCTGTAGCATCTCCTGGTTGTTGTGTTGCTTCTCGGAGACCTCGTCGGGGCCTCCCTTGTGGAATCCCTGACGCACCCGCGGTACCGAAAGTATTGGTTTCTCAGGAGGAGCGACGCTTCCCGTGAACCACGGACAGACTTGGAATCTTTCCCTAGCGCTCCTCCAGGCGAGAGCCCAACTCGCTGGGCAAAGCCCCAGTTCGGCGGGTGAAAGCGCAGAGCCCTGAGGTACCCCTCCCCAGACCTCCAGCGGCTCGTAAAACATATACAATAATAATAATGATAATAATAATAATGTTAATAATAATACTTATTATTATTATTATTATTATTGTTGTTAATAATAGCAATAAAAATTATGAAAACTAACATATATATATACACTTATATTTACACACATATATATATGTATATATATAACAAGAGAAAACAACAACCTCCAGCGGCTCGTCTTTTGGGAGTCTCTGGCCCGCAGGCCTCTCGCCCCCCCCCTCTCTGCGGCCAGCTCTTCGTGCGGCGTTGTATGCTGTCTCGACGGCCCGGGGGCCCAGCACGAGCTCCCAGACCCCGAGTCTGGTGGTGGAACAAGGGGTTCTTCGAGTCGTGCCCCTTCTGAGGTTTCTGTAGGCTCTCTTGGGGAACTGTTGGGCTTTCGGGGCCTCTTGGGGTTCTCGGGGCCATCTTGGAGAATCTAGGGGCCGTGGGAGAGCGTCTTGGGGCCGTCCCAGCCTGGTGCTTTGCCGTTTTGGTGGTCCGTCTTGGCGGGCCATCTTGGGGCCATCTCCGAGCCCCGTGCCTCCAACGTCTTGAGAAAGCCAAGGCGCAGCTTGTTTTGCAAAACTTTCGATTTCTGGCGTCCACCTTCGGGCTCCAGGACCATAAGGAACGCTTCCGAGTGGAGAGCAGGGCCCTGGCTGGGAAAAGCAAGGGCCGACAGGTCCACGGATCCTGCGTCCAGGCAGTGCGCGGCGTCGGAGGTCTCGGGCATCCTGGACCGCCCTGGCGCCCGCTGGGGAGGCCCACGAGGCCGCCCGGGGGCCACGTGGAAGCAGCCCCTCGGGTCCAGTTGGTGGCCTGTCCGGGGTCGCCGGAGCCGTCTTGGGGTGGCTGTGGTGGCCAGGGGGTGGTACTCGCGAAGTCTTTAGGCCGTCTGTCCGAGGCCCAAGTTTCTGCCCAAATCCCCGACGCTGCGGAAACGAGAGAGAGGGGGCCCTGGTCGGGGCGCGTAACAGTGCTAGGCAGAACGGCCCGCCCTAGTCCCTAGTCGTCGATCCTGTTTTTGAGCGGGTCGCGTGGTTGGGGCGTTGAACCCCACCAACAGAAACAAAGAACGACATCCCGCACTGCGGAACCCCCGCTTCAGCCACGCACCCCGGGAGCAGTGTAGACCGCTCGGTCCTTTCTTTCTGACGTGTTCACCGCCTGGGGAACCGATCTTCCAGGACCCCAGGAGGCAGTGGGTACGGATATCGTTGGCCCTCCGTGGCCCGCCTCCCCGGGTCCTAGGACATGGGCCTTGCAGACGGTGAACATGTGTAACCTTGGCTGCCTCGATACGCCCGTTTTGAGACGCAGTACGTACCGTGCTGAAAACGCACGCGTCGATACGCTGCGTGCCAGCTCAACGTGTTGGCCCACGATTTGGCGAACGTATCGCGTCAGACCTACGTTTTCAGTCCACGTGTTGAGCTCCGTGTCAGCACGCTGCGTTTTGCGTGCTGCGTCTTGGGGCAGCTAAGGGTACAACCCCCAGCCTCGGAGTCCAGGAAGGGGCAAGCAGTACCCGTGTTCTGAGGAGGAGGAGGAGGAGGAGGAGGAGGAGGAGGAGGAGGAGGAGGAGGAGGAGGAGGAGGAGGACGAGGAGGTCCAGGAAGGAGCAAGCAGCACCCGTGCTCCTCATTTCCAGGTGCAGCGGCACAGCCGCCACCGCGCCAGCGAAGCGCCCTGGTGCGCCCCCCATTCGAGCACCACCCGGGAAGCCATCACATCCTCCTCCTCCTCCTCCTCCTCCTCCTCCTGTCCCTCTTCCTCCTCCTCATCCACCTATTCCTCCTCCGCCTTCTGTGTGCACTTCTTGAGGGGATCTCATGTGGACTGCTTGGGCCGTCCTGGGGCCCCTCTGCGCCGTCTTGGAACTCTCTCGGCCGTCTGGGGGCTGTCTTGGGGCCGTACAGCGGGGTCCCTCCGACTCCCTCCGGAGGCTCTCTTGGGCCAGCCTGCGGCTCTCTTGGGGCCTCTTGGGGCTCTCAGTGGGCCCCTTTGGGCCCTCGAAGACTGCCAGGGGACCAATCGTCGACCAAATGAAGTGGTCAGCGAATAACGCTGAAACATCTACAGGCAACCTATGTTTTTGGTATCTCGAGGTCCTTCTGGAGAACGTTTTGGTAGTAACTTAGAGCATGTGATAGGTCCCGTGGGACTTATTTGGGCGCTTCTCAGGGGCTCTTTGGTGCGTACTGGGGCAATGCTGGGCCATCTTGGCTCTTGGTCCATCTTGGAAGTCTGGGATTGCCTTGGGGATCACGAGGGAGGACCCACGAACAGGGCGACGCGACTCCCAGAAGTCTTACAGGGCAGCACTTGGCGTTCTACCACACCCGATGGAGGCGAGCGTATCTTGCCGTCGATGTTCTGTCAGCCACTGTTTCTTCAGAAGCAACGTCTCTCAACGCTCGAGATAGCTATCATGGGCTCGACGCGCTCGTACAGCTGCAGGTGCAGCAGCGGATGTGTCACTGCAAATCTGGCGGGGCTGAGCTGCAGACCTCGATCGAAACCGCGCAGGCCAGGCTGCCGCAGCTCCGAAACACATTGGACGAGTTGAAGCATGCGAAGGCTCAGCAGGATGCTGACATTAAGAAACACAAAGCCGATAATGCTGCGGCTAAGGAGGCTCTTGATAAGGCGCATGCCCTACGTAACAAGGAAGCCAAGGCCAGTGCCAGCGCCATTTCAGAACTGAGAGTCAACATCGAGGCTGTCGGCAAAGCTCTGGATGCGCTCAAGAATGGCATGGAGGAGAGCTTTTTGCAAACAGGAGCAGCCGACATCCTGCGACGGCTCATCGTGGATGCGGACATGAGGTCAGCGGATCGCGACAAGGTCGCTGCCTTTGTGTCGGTGGGCGATGCTGGCAGCGCGGCCAACTCAGGTAGATACGAACCCAAGTCTGGTGATATCATTGGCATACTCACTACGATGGCTGATGCAATGCAGGAAGACCTCGCCAAAGCGATAGCTATTGAGGACCAGTCCATAAGGGGCCATGGAAGCTTGGTCGAGGCCAAGGAGAAGGAGGTCAAGGCCTTGACAAAAGCGACAGAGGACTTGCTGGAGAGCTCTGGCTTGTTGGGGGTTGAGATTTTGCAGGCTAGCGCCGCATATTCTGCTCCCTTCTGGTGCACGGAAGGAGGATGAGAAATAGTAAAACCCCATATCCCATATTTCCCCTATCCCACTAGTCGCACGTGCCCTGGATAATTCGGCAAAGGGGTTTATCAAATGTCAGAGCTTGGGGAGGTCACGATGACGACGTTGAATACCATGGAGGAGACTTTTGATGAAACATGTGACCAAACCAGTACTGCATAGGATGACAGCACTGGAAACACTATTGGGCGATCGTGCGAAGCGCGTTGGAAAGCTGGATGGAAACCGCGCGTTGATTTGTGAAGCAGAGGTATGTCAGACTATGGCCATGGGGGGCTTTCAGCGAGCTCTCTCCAACATAGACCATCTCAGCACTACGAGACTCGTTGAAAGCACGGAGGCTCTCGTGTAGAGGTGAAGGAAACTTTCAGCATTCTCAGAGCCAAGTTTTCGCTGACTCTGCATGGACACATCAGGGAGAGCGAGTGTCTTTAGGAGCGCATCGAAGAAGCGCAAAGGCCGTTCTGCAGCCCCCCTGATGTGGCCGAGAGTGCTCGGACGTCCTCTCTGACCGGGAGCCCCCTGTCCCAGGGAAGCCGAGCGCTGCGTGCCTGGTATGGCCACGGCCGCAAGTTCAAAACTGTCGACAGTCTCGCGAGCGCGTGCGCGACATATGGTGTTTGTCCGGGCGCTTCCTGAAGAGTCCGCACGGGGCGCCCTCGGAGTCCGCAGAGGAATGGGGGAGGTGCTAGGCCGCCCAGCTGGGGTCGGAGGGTCGCGCCGCATCGCCGATGCATCGGCGATGCGGCTTGCTGCGAAGCCAGATTTTTTCCATACCGGCGTCGCCGATGCGCTTCCGACGTCGCCGATGCATCGCCGATGTATCGGCGATGCGGTGAGATCCTCCGACCCTACTCGGACTCCACCTGGGAGGCCTCCAGAAGTGCTGGTGGAGCACCCCGCGGAGTCGGGGAGCCCGCCAGGAGCAGCTCCGACGCTCTGGAGGGTCTCCCTCGGGGTCGGGCGGCCCGCGATGGGCGCCCCAAGGCGGCAGTGCGGCCACTCCGTTCAAGCGTGCGGTCCTGGGGGTGGTGTAGGAGGGGGAGGTCGGCGGCGAGCGATGGGCGGGAGGTGGGGAGGAGAAGGCCTTCTCAGAGAGTGGCGGGACTTCTCAGCAGCCAGAAGCCGGGGGACTTCCGAGCCCCCGCTCCTTTTCATTTCCCCCCCCGGGCGCGCCGCCTGGGAGAAGTACACAGATCCGCCCCGTTCTTGCCCCCCCCCCTCCCAGGAGGGGGAAGCCAATCGGAGAGGGGTGGGGAGGAGGACGGAGGTGGAACTGTGCCACTGCTCTCGGTGCCCAGATGGGGCGTTGACGTTGAGAGGGGGGCGACCTCGCACGCTGGGCGACGCCGAAGAGGGTCCGGCAGATCGTGGACGTGGTTGGCGACATCGACAGCACCGAGAAGACGTATGCCGAGGATTATGGTGTTCCAGCCTACGTTAGCCTTGACCACCAGAAATAATTTCGAGCACCAAGAAGTACCGCAACTCGAATGTTTTCACGTGTCGGGCCCTGGGAGACACTCGTCCGACACTGTTTCGACACTGTTTCGACATTCTTTCGACACTTTTCCGGGTGCTCGAAATTATTTCTGGGATGTGGTCCTGAAGTACGATTGGAGCAACATAAGTCGAGGATCAGAAATACGCCGCCCAGCTGGCAAAGAGCTGTGCCTCGAAGCAGGAGGAATGGGACACCAGGTCTCGGCTGCGCAACGAGGAGCTGCTCGCGATAACAGAAACCGCGAGGGCCTTAATCTCTGCTGATCGCTGATCACATGAGGTCGCGACGAACACTGGTCGCTTTTTCCCTCGTGGTTTTTGCTTGCGAGGTCCCAGCTCCTTCTGTGCAAAAAGCTTGGTGGCCATGGCTGTGCCGGCCCCACTTCCTGGGCCCCAGGGGTCTGGGGGCGACCGGCCTGCCTCGTTCCATTCGGGTGAGACGTCGCTGGTGGGGCCTGGTTCGTTGGCCCTCGGGGGTCCTTCGGGCGATTCGAGGCCTTCGGCGTCTTACCATTTGATGAGTGCATAGCTCTGCGTTGCTTTGCATGGCAGTGCGCTGCATTGCACTGCGCTGCTTGTCATTGAAGTGCGTTGTATTGCATTTGACTTTCGATGCGTGGCTTTGCATGGCGCGCGCTGCTGTGTATTGTATTACTTTGCAGTGCCCTGTATTGTTTTGCATGGGTCTTGTGTCTTGTTCTCACATCGTGTTCCACTTCTTCTCTTGGGGCATTGCTGTTCACAGCATTTGCTCGCATTGGATTGCGTTGCGTAGTTCCGTATTGATTTGCTCTGCGTTGGATGGCTTCGCATTGCTCTGCGCTGCATTGCGTTGCATTGCGTTGCTGTGCATTGTAGGCGTAACACTGCATGGAATTTGATTGTCATCGCACTGCATTGTATAGCTCTGCACTTGCTTGCGTTTACGTGTTGGTCTGTGTTGCGCTGCTTTAGCTTGCTTATGCATTACATTGGTTTGCAGTGCCTTGGCTTGTGCGATGTTTTCTTTACGAGGCCTTGCGTTCAATCGTTTGGTTCTCCGTTTGCGTTGCATTAATTTGTCCAGTATTGCAATGCTTTGCAGTGTGCACTGGTTTGCATTGCATTACGTTGCACTGCAAGTGCAAGGAATGACGACGCACGGTAAGTATCGCGTTGTGTTGCGTTGCACTGCTTTGCACTGCGTTGCACTGCTGTGCACTGCGCTGCACTGCGCTTCACTGCGCTGTGCTGCGCTCAATTCCAACAACAGGGTAACGCAAGACGAAGCAATGCAAGACACCTTTGATCAACGCAAGGGAACTCAAACCATTCAAGGCGTGTCAGTGCAAACTCAGCAAAGCCAGGCGATGCAACAACAAGGAAACCTATAACATATAACTACAATGTCGCGCGATGCAATGCGATCCGTGTTGTCTTGCATGCGATCTAAGACAAGGTAAACCCACACAAGCAACACAACACCGTCCTATGTGACACTATGTTGCCGCCGTGGCCGTTCCGTCGCCGCCTCGTCGCCGTCTAGTCGGCGGCGCCCGTCGTCTGGGCCTGTCTGCTGCTCTAGCGGCTATGTTGCCGCCGTCGCCGCCCCGTCGCCGCCCGTCGTCTGGGCCTGTCTGCCGCTCTGGCGGCTATGTTGCCGCCGTCGCCGCCCCGTCGTTGCCTTGTCACCGCCAGTCGTCTGGCTCTTGTTGTGCATTGCCGTGCACTGCTTTGCATGGCTTTGCATCGCAACCTGCGCACACCATCTATTGCACCACATATACTGCGTAACATAGATGGCACACACCAGATTGCACAACATATATATGTATATATATGTATATATATAGTGCACCATGCAGGTTTCACCACCGCATAGATTGCGCCAAATAGTTTGCACAGCTCCGATTGCACCACATAGATTGCATCACCGATTCGACTTCACATATGTTGCCCAACATACATTGGACCACATTTTTGCGATGCATAGCTTGCACCACATAGATTGGGCAATACGGATTGCCCAACATGGATTGCATACATAGTGCACCTCACCAGTTGCACAACAGATATAGTACAACATATGGTACAGCATATATTGCACACGCCATTTTGCACCACACATACTTCGCAGTATATTACAGATTCAGCATCTGCTTTAACATCTATTCTCTTCTTTTATTAAAAGAAGTTAGATTCTACCCCCATCCCCCCCGGGGTTATCCGCCACGCGTTTCGATTGGAAGTTCAAGTATGATCGTGACCCTTCGTTCATTTTTAAAATGAATTCATACCATCCTAGGCCAGCCGGTATGGACCCCCCCCGCCATCCTCAGCCAAACCTATCATGCGCGCACGCTCGTTTATCAAACGCCATACGTTCTCAATAATCTTTTGCAGAAGTTGGACGAAGTACGCACGCGCGCGTCGTCGCGTGCGCATGCTGAAATCCTTAAAACAACCTGGGGTTCTGGACGGGTTTCAACATCGAGTGTCCAAACACATATAAACGTACATGGTTTCGCAACACGGATTTTCAAGAAAAGCGTGCGCGCGCGCTCTTGCGAATTCTTAGGAAAGCCATGCGTTCTTCAACATTTTATGTTTATCAAATGCTACCAGGCGGGCTTCGCGCGCGCGCATGTCGAAATCGTTCGGGCGCCCTTGCGCGCGTGTAGGGGTGGCGTCCATGTCAAATAATACCATGCGAGCCACTGTCGCGCGTCTGCCGCGCGCGCATGTCGAATTCCCTCGAAAACCTTCATCACCGACGCGAAGACGCCGTCATCGTCATCGGCGTGATTGGCATCGACGCCGTCACTAGCCGTGCCGTCGTCGCTGTCAGCATCGTCACCAACATCGCTACTAGTGTCATCATCGTGTGTACAATCATCGGCGTTGCAATGATACCGCACCCGCCCAAGGCGCCGACTCTCATTCAAGTGCCCGCAGGGATGTGCCGAGCGGTGAGCACCACCGCGGCCGCGTCGGTCGCGCCAAACTTCCTGGCCGCTGCGCGCGCGCATGCGCGGGCTGGCGCGGCCGCAGAGATGCACCAGCCAGCGCCAAGCACTCATCGCAATCGCCGCCGCATGAGGTTTGCAAACCAAGTTGCGGGTGGGTGGGTGGGATGTTTGCGCGAGCAGTGGGGTGGACAACTCACTGCGAACAGACATTCATTGCACCACTTAGACTGCAGGCAGTATATTGCACCACATATATTCTCCTTTCTTAAAAGAAGTTAGAGTCTACCCCCATGACCCCCCTGGGGTTATCCGCCACGCGTTTCGATTCGAAAGTCATCTATAATCGTGACCCTTCGTTCATTGTTTAATGAATTCACAAAGGGTCCCAGGCCAGCCAGTATGGACCCCACCGCCATCCCCAGCACCACGTCGTATGCGCGTGCACTCGTTTATTCAACGTGATACATGTTCAAAAGTTCCTTGCAACAAACATGACGAAGTATACACGCGCGCGTCGTCGCGCGCGCATGCCGGAACCCTTCAGAAACGTTCGGTTCTGGACGGATTTTAAGGCCGAGTGTCCAAAAAGCATCTAACAAGCACGTGGTGTCGCAACACGGGTTTTCAAACCAAACATGCGCACGTTCTTGCGATTTCCTGAGGCAGCAACAGTTTATATATATATATATATGTATATATATACACATATACATTTCAATCTTTTCATAACGTGCTATCAAACGGGCTTCGCGCGCGCATGTCGAAACCGTTCGAACGCCCTTGCGCGCGTGCCGTCGCGAGAGTCCTCGGCAACATTATGAAACGAAGTGCACGCGCGCGTCGTCGCGCGCGCATGCCGGGATCCTTCAAAAACCTAGGGTTTCAGAGGGATTTCAAAATTGAATGTCTACAACACATACGGAAACACACGGTTTCGCAACACGGGCTTTTGATAAAAGCGTGCGCGCGCGTTCTTGCGGATTCTTAGGACAGTTATACGTTCTTCAACATTTTCTGTTCTTTAATGCTACCAAACAGGCTTTTCGCGCGCGCGTGTCGAAATCGTTCGGGCGCCCTTGCGCGCGTGTTGGGGTGGCACGATCCGTGTCAAATAATACCATGCGAGCCACTGTCGCGCGTCTTCCGCGCGCGCATTTCGAATTCCTTCCAAACCTTCATCACCGACGCGAAGACGCCGTCATCGTCGTCGGCGTGATTGGCATCGGCGCCGTCACTAGCCGTGCCGTCGTCGCTGTCAGCATCGTCACCAACATCGCTAGTAGTATCATCATCGTGTCTACAACAGGCGACGTTGCCATGATATTGCGCCCGCCCAAGTCGCCGACTCGCACTCAAGTGCCCGCTGGGATGTGCCGAGCGGTGAGCACCACCGCGGCCGCGTCGGTCGCGCCAAACTACTTGGCCTCTGCGCGCGCGCATGCGCGGGCTGGCGCGGCCGCAGAGATGCACCAGCCAGCGCCAAGCACTCTTGCAATCGCCGCCGCATGAGGTTTGCAAGCCAAGTTGCGGGTGAGTGGGTGGGATGTTTGCGCGAGCTGTGGAGTGGACAATTCATTGCGAACAGAAATTCATTCTCCTTTCTTAAAATAGACTCCCCCCCCCCCCGGCGTTATCGGTCCCCCTTTCGGGTCTGTAAATCATATATGATTCTGACCACATGTCCATCCTGAATATGAATTCACACTATCCCCGGGGGGCCGGGTGCCCCCCCTGAGGTTCCTTGGTAAAAAAATTCAATGCGGTGACATTTTTTGTTCTAGCATAGCACTTTTTTCGCGAATCCCTTGCAACAAATGGGACGAAGTGCACACGCGCGCGTCGTCGCGCGCGCATGCCGAAATCCTTCAAAAACCGTCGGTGCTGGATGGTTTCGCAATCGAGTTTCAAAACAAAAAACATACAAAACCTTTGGTTTGGTAACACGGATTTGCTTTAAAAAACTTGCGCGCGAGTTCTTGCGAAATCTGACGAAAACCATATGTTTTTTTCCACAACATGCTACCAAAGGGGCGTCGCGCGCATGTCGAAATCATGCCCTTGCGCGTGTGCCGTCGCGAGAATCCTCTGCAGCAGATGGGACGAAGTGCAGGCGCGCGTCGTCGCGCGCGTACGCCGAAATCCTTCAAAACCCATCGGTTTCGGAAGGATTTCAAAATCGCGCGTCCAAAACACCTACAAAAACACAAGTTTCGCAACACGGACTTTCAACAAAAGTGTGTGCGCGCGCGCTCTTGCGGCGTCGTCGTCGTCTGCGTCGTCGTCGT